CATTGATTAAAATTCCTAAACAAAATGACACTCCTATACCCATAAATTAGGATGTTCTAACTAACCTCCCTATTCTAGTTATATCATTCCGACTTTCTTTCTCTATTTGAAGGTTTTTTTAATGGGGATTATTCGACTGGTGATGACTGTGTATAGTTGTGGCCATCATAAAATTGCTGCAGACGGTGAGAAAAAGCGAAGAACTGTAGTCACAGAAAAACAGAAAGAAAGCTGATCTATTGCAAGTACGATATGTACTAAAATTAATATGAATCGGAATTAATTGATCCTGTAATATTCTCTGCCAGCAGACAGGTCTGTGAAAGCATAATCTGTCGAGATATGATGATCTGGAAGCCAGGCAAACTTCAAAGCCACAAAATAGAAGAGCTTTGTTTGATGTTGAACTGTACCTCAGTCCTCACCGTGCACAAATCCTTTGTCTCAACTTCGTTAGATATCCTTCATCGTGGTTGCACGTTTCATCTCAGCTATCCCTATTGGACGATTACTTCATTATACGAAAATACAATGAGCTCAATCACCGTGACCGTGCACAAATTAACATAAACTTAAAACATAACACAATGACTTCAGTTTAGTTTCCAGATCCATCATATCTTGATTGACTTTGGTGAAAGAGCATAAAAGCAAATTCAGAATTAAATATCAATGAAGAGTTTTTATTGAAAAACTTTTCAAACTACTTCTTCTTAAATTTAGGTTTGTGCCACGTCTTTGAAATTACACATTCAGAGGTGCATCTGTATTCCAGATGACATTGTGTACTAAATATTTGCCATCGACCTTTTTCCAAACTGTCAATGCCCTGCAAAAGAATGTATAGGTTCACTTAAGCGGACGTTTGAAGAAGCTCAAATTTGACATAGGGCCGGGTTCGTTTTGGATACAGTATTCTGCAATAAGCTTATAAGTTTCTGTGGTTCTTGTGCATGGGAGTCTAGATTAGACACAAACCACGGCAGCTTATTGTAGAATACTACCTACACTGGACCACCATGTTTGAGATATCTTTTTCAGGTATTTCAGACACAGACCACGACAGCTTATTGTAGAATACTACCTACACTGGACCACCACGTTTGAGATATCTTTTTCAGGTATTTCAGACACAGACCACGACAGCTTATTGTAGAATACTACCTACACTGGACCACAACGTTTGAGATATCTTTTTTTAGGTAGTTCAGACACAAACCACGACAGCTTATTGCAGAATACTACCTACACTGGACCACCACGTTTGAGATATCTTTTTCAGGTAGTTCAGACACAAACCACGGCAGCTTATTGTAGAATACTACCTACACTGGCCCACCACGTTTGAGATATCTTTTCAGGTAGTTCAGACACAAACCACGACAGCTTATTGTAGAATACTACCTACACTGGACCACCACGTTTGAAGATATCTTTTTCAGGTAGTTAATTCAGACACAAACCACGACAGTTTATTGTAGAATACTATACCTACACTGGACCACCACGTGTGAGATATATTTTTCAAGTAGTTCAGACACAAACCGCGACAGTTTATTGTAGAATACTACCTACACTGAACCACCACGTTTGAGATATCTTTTTCAGGTAGTTCAGACACAAACCACGACAGCTTATTGTAGAATACTACCTACACTGGACCACTACGTTTGAGATATCTTTTTCAGGTAGTTCAGACACAAACCGCGACAGTTTATTGTAGAATACTACCTACACTGAACCACCACGTTTGAGATATCTTTTTCAGGTAGTTAATTCAGACACAAACCACGACAGTTTATTGTAGAATACTATACCTACACTGGACCACCACGTTTGAGATATCTTTTTCAAGTAGTTCAGACACAAACCGCGACAGTTTATTGTAGAATACTACCTACACTGAACCACCACGTTTGAGATATCTTTTTCAGGTAGTTAATTCAGACACAAACCACGACAGTTTATTGTAGAATACTATACCTACACTGGACCACCACGTTTGAGATATCTTTTTCAGGTAGTTAATTCAGACACAAACCACGACAGTTTATTGTAGAATACTATACCTACACTGGACCACCACGTTTGAGATATATTTTTCAAGTAGTTCAGACACAAACCGCGACAGTTTATAGTAGAATACTACTTAGACTTGACCCCCATGTCATACCTTATCAAATCTGAAAGCCACTGTCACAAAGATGAAAGAGAGAACAATGAAGAAAACCACGGGGAATGAAACGTTTTGGTGAATAGATCTAAACATAACAATGTAAAATACATGATTTCTTTTCAGCTGTTTTGCGGGTGGGAATAATTCTGGAGACTCAATCTCTACTATACCTTGGTAAAATTGTAATCTCGACTAGGAATGAAAAGACCAGAACGAGACAGACTCCAGCGAACGATACTGCACAACCACCTTCAGTTTGCGCGGAATACTATGAAAAGAATAACGGGTTAAGTCCACTTTCATGCACCAGCCGAAGCGAAAAACAAATCTTGGCAATGTGATTGGTGAGCGAAAAAATTCGCCACGATAATGTTGGATCAGTTCCTACTTTTTTACTGTTCGCGCGAACAAATTCGCTTACTGGAAAATGGGGTTTATAGTCGGCTAGTTATGCGATTCTTGATTTTTGGTTTGATGCTTTTGAAGGTTTACATAAATTGTCAAGTATCTCAAGTTGTTTATACAAAATAATAATTCTACCTTTTCCTCATTCCGAGGGTCAACAAATTTCAATGTAAATGGGTTCACTTTTCCTGAAGTTCTGGAAAAAAACAAAAATGTTCATCGCGTTAATTAAAACTGAATATGAAACCATTTATATGACATACTAATTATGTAAATTGGTATGCAAAGTCATTAGAGATGACAGCGCCCATGGCCCATGGGAATTCATGCGGTTGTTCGCAGAACACGGCTGAGCTAGTTGCACCAATGGTAATTGATATTGAAATTTGAATATAGCTTTGTTTATTGAAAATTCAAATTTTTTCCTCGTGTATAGAGGTTGCCGCATTCTTGAAGTCTACAAGAGCTTCGCCATGGCACTACAAACTAGAGGATATTTTCGAGGCATACGTTTTCGCAAGATAATTTAGGAGGCAGAAAAATTAACGGGAATGTATGGACAAAATGCTGGCGTACTGCCGTACTTTATCAAGCGGTTAGGAGTGGCAGATTCTCGGTTTAAAATGTTGAAGTAGTGTGTAAGTGATGTAACATAATTTATAACGTGTGTTCAGTATAGTTCAACTTAAGTTTATAACGTATCAAAATACTGCATGCATGCATGGTGTCTGAATTTGCGTTGTAAACGGTTACATGAGCCAGGCAATTGCCTTGCCATGCAGGCAATTTTTTTTTCAAATGGCTTTTGTAGAAGCATGTCTGAAATGTATTTGTGTTTACATTCATCCCAGTCTGAATTCATGCCGGTCTGAAGTCAGCCGGCTCGGTCCAGCAGGCGGAATGACTTGAGACCGGTCTGAGTTATTTTCATCCCGGTCTTATGTAAACATCAATTATAGATAATACTATGACCGAAACGAAATGGTCCCGGTTTCACTTCGTTCCGATCTCATGGAAACGGGGCCTAACACCTACCTTTCGCTTTGTTCTAGAACTTTTGAGAGATTGTGCATCAGCTGTTCTTCATCCCTAGAGTGAAGGCACATGATCGATAAAAAGCCGGTTACAAACGAGAATATTTTCATATGACAAGTTTTTCCATGCTAGCTTTTGAACAGGTGTGTTTGTCACAGGAAATATTGGCAAATTTTTCCCGTCTGTATTGGGATCCTGGAAAATTTGACCATGACAATGTAGACTGTAGTATAGTTGCCCTATAGCACTTGGATGTTGTCGGAAACCAAACCTTGTTATAGAAAATCTGTTGTACATACACATGCACACGTGCAAATGGCATATAAAACTTGCCATACAACAGGGGCCGATTTTTCGAAGGCCAGATAGTCCACCGGATAGTAATTTTTTCAAGCTTTGTTAAATTAGTCGTTGATTGGTATAATTATATAGTATTAAAGTTTAGTATTTATAAGTTAAATGTTTTTTATATTTCTTATGTCATCTATATTCCGTAGTTTCACAGTTTTTCAAGCATTTTACAAAGGTTGAAAAATCAATATCCGGTGCGGGATAGCGCTATCCGACTTTCGTACAACCGGCCCCAGGGCCTCTTTTAAGATATTGTCAGTGGAGGGGCCATCAAGAGAAAGGGACCCAACTGGAAGGTGGTGAACGGAAAAAGCGGCCGGGAACTTGTCTGGCTCAGAAAAAGTTTGTATTTTAATTGTCTGGGGCTTGATTTTCGGCATTGTTACACACAATCTTTTATATATTTCATCCGCGCCAGACAAAGATTTGGTCATGGGAATACTATCTATTGTATTAAAAGAGATCCTGCCATACGAAAACTTGTCGGAGCATACACAAATGATCGAAATTTAAACGCAAACTGGTCGCTCACCTCAATCTGTCGTCATTTATTTCGCTTTTCTCAAAGCTATCCTCCTGTAGGTAGAATAAAAGAAATATAAAATTCTGCAAAACGAATCAAACTTTCTATGGAATGGAGAGAAATTATTTTTCGTTTAATCTGGCGTGGTTAATGCAAATTTTACTGGCAAAAAATTAGACTTGTGTCTTCAATTACAATGTTATTCGCCCTTTCCGTCTTATGTGCCATGCAATTCCTCTTCTCTTGCTTCCCGTTTTCCGTTATCCTGTTCTCCGCAAATCAACTTGCTTATCGACCGTCTTATCATAGCTATACGCAAGACACAACAATTATTTTGATGTATGCACTTACAGTTTTTTCGGGCATAGATATTTCCACATGATGTCGTGGCGTTCCGTTCTCCTCCGTGCCATTAGTTTCCTTGGTCTTGAGTGCTTTCCTTGCGGTTGTTCCCAGTAAACTCACAATGGGCGATGATGTCCTGCGTTTTACCTCACAATCGGGCATTACCAATAACGGAACCGTCTCCCATTTTTCCTAGAAATTAAGGTGTTTGAAATGAAATGAAAGAAATGTTTGGTTATGTTTGTAGCAGTTTTTAACGGATCCAAAATTTAAGGTAAAAGTCTTCACTTCTCGTCTTCTTTTAAAGTTTGCGTAAGGACGAAGAGATTACATTTCATGTGTGCTACGTCTATATGCAAACTAGCAGTCCCTTCTTTGTCCAATGTCGTCAGGCGTGCAGGATCATCTGCCCAAAAACCTCACTGCCATATGCATATTGTTGCAAGCGTTCTCGATTGGGTTGCAAAAGTATTACAGGTCTGCTAAAAACGATACTCCGAGTCAAGGCCGTAGCTAGACGCGACAATTGGTGTGTGTGTGTATATTCATATATTCATGTGCACCCTCCCCCCACCACCACCACCACCACCATTATCGGTCTAGCTACGGCCCTGACTCTAGTATTTGACCATGCGCAAAACAAACCTTTGCTTTGGACTTTATTTTTCCAACAATAAGATAAGTCTTGATGCCGGATTCCTTGATGTATTCATTTCTTACATGACCATTCCCCTCCTCGACTTCGTACAGATCTCGGACTCTTTCGTATGTTGTTGCCGAAATATGAACGCGCCTTTAGAGATGAAAAAAGGCAAACAAATTAGAGATCTTTCCTTCTAGAGGTAAATGCTTTAATTAGCTTGACGAATTGGCAAACATACCCAGGAATCCCACCAGACTCCATTTTATTTGCCAGCGTGACGTCATTCGACCAAGCATCAAACTGCCATTTTTTCTGCCCCAGTACCCCAGCTAACACGGCACCAGTGTGGATACCAACACGCATGTCTAAACTTTTCACTCCTGTCTGTTGACGCACTTTACTGAAATAAATAGCAAATACGTGTTCGTTGAGAGTGAAAGTGTATGACGTAATTACTATGTTATATGATGTCATGCTTACGTAATGTGATTCACCATTCCCAGACCCATATTAACCGCTGACGCAGCATGATTGTTGTCGCCTTTCTCCCTCTCGGCTGCATCCAAACCCGAGATACAGTAGTAACAGTCACCCAGAATTTTGATTCGTTGACAGTTGTGTTTCTGTGGAAATATGACGATTTTCAAACCTCAGACTTCATACTAGATAACTCTATCAGTTCTGAACTGTTCTCCCTAGAGGTCTTATTGATCCAATGTTACTACAGGAGGAAGCTTAAACTAAACTAACTTTATTTATACTGGATAGCTCTATCAGTTCTAAACCGTTCTTCCTAGAGGTCCAGTAAGGATCATCTCTTATTGATCCAGTGTTACTACAGGAGGAAGCCTAAACTTTTATTTATACTGGATAGCTCTATCAGTTCTAAACTGTTTCCCTAGAGGCCCAGTAAGGAGGTCCAGTAAGGATCATCTCTTATTGATCTAGTGTTACTACAGGAGGAAACCTAAACTAAACTAACTTTATTTATACTGGATAGCTCTATCAGTTCTAAACTGTTCTTCCTAGAGGTCCAGTAAGGATCATCTTTTATTGATCCAATAAGCAAGAAAATTAAATTATATTTCCCAAAGAATCAGCATTATTTTCTCACTCTGATAACTGCAGGTTGACCACCATCTGCTGCGCGATACTGCTTAGTGGTGAAACACCACCTGTTTACGCAAGTGTTGATTGGCCTGCGAACCTTCAACATATACTTACCGATGCAAGTTTATCAAATATGGCAAAAAGCTGGTTCAAAGTCTCTATCAGTTCTTCTGCTGTGCATGTGGAAGAGAGCTCAGTGAAGCCAACGATATCGGCATATAGTATACTGCAAGAAAAATCGTTGTTACATGAACATTTCATCTCTTTATGTGACTAGAGTTCTAAAGTTTGATTATAATTTCACCTCGTTCGCATGTGAAAAGAACGTTTTCTGCACCTCGGGTTTTCTTCGTACATACGTAAAAATCTCGCATCTTGTAGCAAGTCTGCCAACAAACCGTCAACAAGTTGTGTTCGCAATGCTTGCCCCAAGTTGTCAACAAGATTGGAACAAGCTGTTAACAACTTTAACCTGTTGCAGGGTTGTTCCGACAAGTGTGATACAGTCATGATATAACAATATTGTTACAACCTTGTGTCATCAACTTTGTAACTTCTTGCTATATCATGACTGTATCGGACTTGTTGGAACAACCTTGTAACAAGTCTGATAATGCCATCAAGCTTGTTACAAGTTGTTAATAGTTTGTTCCAAACTTGTTACAACATCTAGGAACAAGCAGTGCGAACACAACTTGTCGACAGAATGTGAACAGATTTGTAACAACTTGTTTGCAGACCTGTAAGAAGTTGTGCGTTTCTGTGTGTGTACCTCTAAAAACACGAAAATCTCGCATCTTGTATATAGCAAGTTTGCCAACAAGCCGTCAACAAGTTGCGTTCGCACTGTTTGTCCCAAGTTGTCAAAAAGTTTGGAACAAGCTGTTAACAACTTTGTTGATATTATCAGACTTGTTCCAACAAGTTCGATACAGTCGTGATATAACAATATTGTTACAACCTTGTGTCATCAACCTTGAAGAATGTTATCAAGAATGTTACAAGGTTGACCACACAAGTTTGTAACAATATTGTTATATCATGACTGCATCGGACTTGTTGGAACAACCTTGCAACAGGTCTGATAATATCAACAAGGTTGTTACAAGTTGTTAACAGCTTGTTCCAGACTTGTTGACAACTTGTTGACAACGCAGTGCGAACACAACTTGTTGACAGCTTGTTGACAGACTTGCTACAAGATGTGAGATTTTTACATGTGTAGTGCAAGCACAACTTGCACATGTTGACAACTTGTGAAGAGATTTGTGGTTACAAGTTGTGCGCTGTTACATGTATAGAGTATGGCAGAGATATCCAGCATAAATAAAATCAATTTAGTTTTGGTTTCCTCCTGTAATACGCTAAGCTAACTTACCTGCAACACTCCACTCTTTCGATATAAATTTTATTGAAATTTCCGTTTTTCAAAATCGTCCCATCCGACTGAATGTCGTCCTCCAACTCTTTCGACACATGACTGGGTAGGACGGACAGCAGTAACCGTTGCTGCAAAAAATATTGGGCACTTTAAGGGACGGGTCATTATTTATGGCGGGGGGTGGCACCGAAGAGAAAAGGGTTGGGTAAACAAAATTTTGAGTAAGTAAAAGGTTGGGTAAATGAAAAACAAAACAACTCAAGGGTTGGGTAATAAAAATTTATTGTCATTTCCAAAGCATGACCCACTGAAATATTGGAGACTGAAAAGCAATGTCAACAGTCATTTGTCCATACTATATGTGAATCAATCAGAGTCACTATCTTGATCATAGTTTGACAAAACAAATTGTGTTTCCAAAGAAAGTACATGTGCAGACAACATGAAACTTTAGACTGCAGAAAATTTCACAAGCATTTATCAAACTCATGTCACTGAAGTGATAAAGGACATGTATGACAACTGAATGGTATCCTTTTGTTAAGTTTTTGGCCAGGGGTGGGTAGTTATTTTTTAATTGATATTTGAGGTTGGGTAATCAAATTTTTGTCTTTTTAATGGTTGGGTCAGCAAAATTTTTGACACGGAAAACATTTCTCTTCGGTGCCACCCCCCGCCATAAATAATGACCGGTCCCTAAGCATGTAGGACGGGAATGCGACAGCGACGGTAAACAAACTCGTTGAACAAAATGATTGCAGCAGAAAACCTGTCGTCTGTTATCCATCGTATGAAAATAATACAGTTTAAGGATTAAAATTATCACTGGGTTTATGATTGAGAAAAGTTCTAGCACCCAATTGAAAATAGCAGTTGTTCCAGCTTGAAATGTAAGCGTTGTATACAAGACGTGATAATCTGTATTTTGCCGTTGTAAAACAGAGCTACGGCGACGTCTAAAACGTCCGTGGATTTTAATTGTCAATTTCTGCTCATTTTCTTGCATTAATATGTTATTAATATGCTGTTTTCGTTACACTTTCGTTCTGCTTTTTGAAGTTCTTAATAACGGTAGTTAGTTATAATACAAAACTGTAAAATTTAAGGCGCTTTCTTGACACGTCCCCGTAATAGATTAAGCTTTGCTTAAGTTCGCTATTATATACTGTTTAAAACACGAGCAGAAGTGCTCTATCAGATATAAAACACGAGGTTGTACCTGTTTCACGTGCTGAAATTCCAGTTTCATCTTGACTTGCAGTGATTTGAGTGTTTCACTAAAAGCTTGACGTTGACGTCTGTCAGCCAGGAGGAAATCGATGACTCCCATTAAAGCTGCGCACAGAAACAGCAAGATATTTGCTACGATCTTGAAATGAAAAAATAAACATCAATAGACGAGCAAACAAGCAAAATGTGAGAGAAGCGGCTCCAATTTGACTCAACTAAACCTCTAGGAAGAACAGTTTAGAACTGATGGAGCTATCCAGTATAAATAAAGTTAGTTTGTTTAGGTTTCCTCCTGAGGTAACACTTGATTAATAAGAGATGATCCTTACTGGACCTCTAGGAAGAACAGTTTAGAACTGATAGAGCTATCCAGTATAAATAAAGTTAGTTTAGTTTAGGTTTTCTCCTGTAGTAATACTGGATCAAGAAGAGATGATCCTTACTGGACCTCTAGGAAGAACAGTTTAGAACTGATAAAGATATCCAGTATAAATAAAGTTAGTTTAGTTTAGGTTTTCTCTTGTAGTAACACTGGATCAATAAGAGATGATCCTTACTGGACCTCTAGGAAGAACAGTTTAGAACTGATAGAGCTATCTAGTATAAATTAAAATTAGTTTAGTTTAGGTTTCCTCCTGTAGTAACACTGGATCAATAAGAGATGATCCTTACTGGACCTCTAGGAAGAACAGTTTAGAACTGATAGAGCTATCCAGTATAAATTAAAATTAGTTTAGTTTAGGTTTCCTCCTGTAGTAACACTGGATCAATAAGAGATGATCCTTACTGGACCTCGAGGAAGAACAGTTTAGAACTGATAGAGCTATCCAGTATAAAAAAAGTTAGTTTAGTTTGGGTAATTTCCTCCTGTAGTAACACTGAAACAACAAGAGATGATCCTTACTGGACCTCTAGGAAGAACAGTTTAGAACTGATAGGGCTATCCAGTATTAATACGTTTATTATATATAAATACGTTTATTATATATAAAGTTAGTTTAGTTTAGGTTCCTCCTGTAGTAACACTGGATCAATAAGAAATGATCCTTACTGGACCTCTAGGAAGAACAGTTTAGAACTGATAGGGCTATCCAGTATAAATACGTTTAGTTCAGGTTTCCTTCTGTAGTAACACTGGATCAATCAGAGATGATCCTTACTGGACCTTTAGGGAGAACAGTTTAGAACTGATATATATATATATATATATATATATATATATATATATATATAATCCTATTTTTATATATATATATATATATATAATCCTGTTTAGAACTGATAGAGCTATCCAGTATAAATAAAGTTATTTTAGGTTTCCTCCTGTAGTATACTGGATTATTTTTATCTATATATATATAATCTATTTTTATATATATATATATAATCCTATATAATCCTATTTATATTTTTATTTTCATCTAGACTGCGTGTGAGGGAGACAATAAACAGAGAAATCCAGTATAAATGAGGTTAGTTATTTTTTGAGTTTAATGATTTAGCAGCATTAATTAAAACTTATCTTTCGTGCAATTATGCCAACAATCATGTTTGCATTGTGACGTTGAACAATCTTATCTTTTGAGTGTAATTAAAGTTTTGATTACGCAATGGCTTTCCAAAACTAATCAACTTTATCCAAAATACCGTTATCATAGACATTGTGACGTCACAATGACGTAATTAAAAACCGCGATTGTTTTTCAAATGTTTCGAAAATGAAAAATTACTCGTGCTATAAGATTTGGCTCGGAATATTCGAAGTTGTGCTGCGTGTAATATTTATAGCTTCAAACAGTACAGCTTTGTAAATTTCGATCTGATATTGCAGAATTACACGTCATGTTGCAGCAGCGCAGGTGAAATATATAGACAATGAGACATTGCGTAATAGATTATTGCAACATGATAAGAGTTTATAGGAATAGCCAACCCTAGCGACGCAATGATAACTGTCAAAAGAATGAACGATGTGTATCGATAAAGGTTTAATTTAAGAGGCAATTTGTTTCCGTCGCGCGCATTTGCAATGAACCGAAAATGATTTTGGCGTTTTGGTGTTCCTCTCAAAATTCTTTGTTCTCTAGTTTGGTACAGTTAGCTACCTTTTTAAATGCATTTGTCGGTTGAGATTTGAGAAACGAAATAATAGTAAAAAATTGTCGATTAAAATAGAATTATCTATGATGCTTTAACGGTGACGCCAAGTCAAGCAAAACTTACTGAACTTCAGACATCATTTTCTCTTTGGCGTACCATCTAAAATCTCTTCATTTTAACATATTTTACAGATAAAACACCAAACAACTTCATATATAGGTTTGTTTGCCGATTGAGAAACGCATCGAAATATAAAAATTTTGAATCATTATCACAACTGACGCCCTATCCATGCATAATCAACATAAATACTCTTCATAAACAAGTTTTACGACGTTTCCAAAAAGTAATTTGCATTATATATTGCCATTGGCGCCCATGTGCTTTAGTACATTAACTGTCAACAATAGATGCTTTCATGCGCTGCTACAATATGGCATGTAAAACTCAGTCACGTGATGTTATTACATAATAGATTATGTCAGCCTCGTACCAGGCTTTTAGTACTGAATAGCAGCTTCGGAGCTCTGGGCGAGCTTTTAGGCGTGCGGAACGTGCGGGCCATCTGGCCTAAAAGCTTGCCCAGAGCTCTGAAGCCGTTATTAATTACTAAAGAGCCTGGGTACTGGATGAATGTGCAGATAGGCGGATCAATATGAGCTTTGATCGCGTTGTATTGCACTGACAAGGGCATGCAATAACCCTACATGCAGTTACAGTCCGAAAGCTTTTTCGTTCGTTGTGACATGTGAGTCCCATAAACACCTTGTTTGAAATATATTATTCGAATAGCGCCTACCAGTTTGGAATAATGTATGTCATATAGCAAGCAATTTAATATTTTGATTTTTGACTTGTGGAAAAAGAGCCCTGCGACGCTATACTGATAGACAGGCCAGAAGCCATCTGCCGCAATTAGCATGCGTAAGTCTGATATTCAGGGTTTGTTTGCCGATAGGCGCTACTATATTGTTTAAGTAATTTGATCGAGTGACTTCTTAATTTTTTATTACAGAATTATACGATCATTAGTCGGCATTTCGTGCCGCATAGTTCACAGTTTTGTGTTGAAAATTTTGAAAAAAATTAACATTAAGTGAATGATATATTTAAGAGTTTTCACGGAAACGTGAGCGAATATTGAGTAGTACAGTACGTGCTTCAATCACTACGCCCCTTTTCCCTACTGCAGGATGAGAGAGACTACTATTTTCCTTTGCATATTGTCTTAGAGTTGAGTCAGTTGACAATAATGCCACCCAGTAATGATCAGGTGATCGAAATGTTTGGTTTCAGTTAAACCATTGAACTGGCGCGCTCTCTCCTAAGTCCCCTTGCCTTGACGAGTAAATTTGTCTGGCATTAGGCAGAGTAAAATAATAAAGTAGGGCGCACTGAGGTGAATTGCAACTTGATGGGTTAAATAAAGCGAAGAAAATATCGGTTAATTCTCCGCCACAATTTTGGGATCAACTCATTTACCGGTTCTTGGCCCAGGCGCCCCTGAATGGTCGATGACACATATGCATATATTATAGCTTGTGTAATGTATATTTATAGCTATCGTTCAGTATATTGTAAAGATGAAAGGCTTTTTTCTACGCATCGCAAAACCACCTCGCAAGCCCGCTTGGATGAAGCTGGTAGTAGCCTGGTATTCGCAGCGAGTTTTTGCAATTAAAGAGTGGAAAAGAGCCCTGAAAAGCATTTCCTAAGTTTTCGGCAGCTGCCTTTGTGTGCATGCCCTAACAGGAATTTTATCGATCTATTTTATCTCATTACGTTTTACGACTACAATGTCTCTTATCAGCACGTGTCAGCGACTCAACGCGTGTTTATATCTCATCTACTCAGCATATAAGGCGCTTGCTTTAACATATTTTGAACTGTATTCACTGCACTGCTTGCCGCCAAACCTGTTGACAAGCTCAGTAAAGAGAAACGTGTTTTTCTTGACAAGTTTCTTGTCGAGTGTACTTACTCGTGTACGGCGAAAAAGTCTGTTCGATCAATTAGTTTTTCTTGAAGTTTAATCTTTCATCTTTGTTCAAAGATTTCAAAGCCGCTTCGAACAAATTTAAAAAAAAAACTGTCTGAAGTATTGCCTACGACGTACACCACACTTCAATTTCAGAATAAACGAGATTTTAATTATGATGGCAATGGCTTCTAGTCGAAGATTCCTTGTCAGGGGTCCTTCAGTGAAAAGCTGACATGGCTGACTTTTGAACAAGATTCCTTGCGACAAGGTGGCATGCAACACATGAACGCAAGTAAAACTAGCTTGTCAAGTAAAACCTGCTTGTCTGCGGGAACGGGGTTTTCTGCAACACTGAGACGTGCTAGCTGTGGCAATCGTTGATATCAAACTGTGTTTCCACAGCTTGTTTCAAATTTGTTATCGACGGCTTGTTCATCATTAACCTGTTCAAAACTAGCTACCGCAAGGTTGCATGACGACTCAACCTTGTTACAACTTGTTTCAATAACTTGTTTTACCGAACAGCTTGTTAAACCATTGTTATGTATGAAAGTTTCTCGCTATCGGAAAATATTAAACTAAAGTAACTTTATTTACGTTTATTTATACAAGATAGCTCTATCACTACTAAGCTGTTCTCCCTATCGAGGTCTAATAAGGGCCCAATTCTTCAGTTATTCAAGTAGATTCAGAATCGGTAACCCTCAGTAACAAGCAAATTGTTAAAAAATTCCACGTATAGTGTATCCTAAGTTAGTAATCTTTACGCCAGCCACAATAGCATAAGGCTTAGCTGATTGTCAGAAGCAATCTTTCGACAAATATTACCGTGCAGAAGACACAAAACAAAACTACACAATGTCTGAGTAAACGTGTCAAAAGGACAATCGTGTCCCACATGCAAACATGGCCTCTTGACTTTATATACACCCACATGTTTATATAATCTCGCTTCTTGTTACGGACAACAGGCGTGGCGAATATATAAACCGTGCAGATTGAATATCTTTTCAATATAATTCTCGTAAATAGTGTTTGCGCATTTGCGAATAGCTGGGAGTTAAAAGATAAAAACATGCTAATTTAGGACTGGGATTCTAAATTCGTCATGCAAGCAAAACAGTACGCGACGTTTTTGGCACGCGCGCCAAAATGTAATACTTTGTGCGCACTGAATTCTATAACGTCGTAGACGATTAAGTAATCATAGATGAAAGGAATGAAATTACTTGACAAATTTGAATATCAGCTGTGCAGTGCATATTAAATGCGATTATATTTGGCATTTGTAAGCATATAGTCATGGAGCTTAAATAGGCGGCTTCATCAAAAACGAAATTTTGCCTTATAAAAACTTTCATTTTTTGTTCTATAAACTGACAAAAACGTTGGTCTAACACTAGGAGGAACGGAAAACGAAAAACCTGAAACAAATTTCGAAAGGCTAACTTTGAAATTATAATTCGTTATATAGAATACATATATGCATGCAATTGCACAAATTTCAACCAAGTTTTGTTTCTAAACGTTCATAGATTTGATGCTTCATTGAACGCACGAACAGACTTCATTTAAAACCAACAAGTTTCCGCATTTTTTGCCGTATAACAAATTATGATTCCGTGTTTTGTATAAGCCACTTGACCGCATTTAAGCTTTTTGTCAATAACGGATTATACGGGCTGCTCAGAACACTCGGTCACCAGGTAATTTTAGCTTGTATGTGAAACCCATTATATAATAACAGCGAAAGTCTAAATTGTTTCTTACGCATCGTCAGTTTTGTATCTAAGGCCGGCGCAGACGCCGTCTTACATTTTGTAGAGAAAATGTATGTTTAGTTAAGTCCAGGATGTAGTGTCTTAACATTTATACGGCAGGGTTTGGTTTTAGGTATACAGTTATTATAAGATAGAAAACGCGCACAAATATATGCAGTATCATTCATACACTAATTGTCCGTTGCTTCGCGTCCCATGTCATGAAACCCGACGCAACTAAAATTCGAGTCTAAAATTAAGCTTACTTATATAAAGGTTACATCTAACCTGATTGCTAGAATATTCATCCAATCTTTCGCTCGAAACTCCGACGATTATCGAATGAATTACCGACAGTACAGTTACCCAAAAAATGCAGAATCTCAAACGCATGGGCAACAGAATAAACGCCAAAAACGCCAGAAAGGTGAATGTCCCAACTAGATCGTTCGGTGTTAACGGATCCTCGCCGAGTCCCAGGATCAATAATGCTTCCAACCCGGCAAATAGCCAAACGAACATGGATACATTATACCCAGGCGAGCAGTGTCTAAAACATGCCACAAACATACATGTGAATATAGCGATCGAAACGCCGCTTATTACAATAACGTTAGTTCGTTGTTCGCTGCTTCCGAGTCCCGAGAACGCGTGAATGAAAAGTAACACGACGTTCGCAACGACAGCGAATAACGCACAAAATAGATTGCTTTTCAGTCGTTCGCGCTTGTTGCTTCTTTGGTAGATTCTTTCCAGCTTTGGCGAGGTAAAAGTGAGCCGTATGGACTCGGGGAAGCACGGACAAGACAGTCTAGGTTGTGCCACATTGTTGTCGGATTGCGAGAATTCGTCTTCGCTCTGGCGCATCTTGTATTCCTCGATGGAACTAAAGGCCCTATTCTCTTCTAAAGGCTCAATTTTGTTCGGTGGAGATTCAACACGCATAGTACAGTTCAAAACTACTCTCTTCCCCCTCTTCGTACCATTTACGCGTTAAGTTTATTCAAAATGTTCCAAAATCCGTTTGTCACATCTTTCCATAACGACGAAATTATATGTATGCCAAAAGCTATTTATGAATATATCTAAGAATATACACCGTCAACAATGTAACAATTTCGCCTTTATACCCGCAATAAAAACGCTCCTGTCGCTCTTCTATAAATACTGTTCCAAATTCTCAATGTATTTTGGTCCGCGTTTCACTTTCCATGTAAGAGTAAAACGTTGTACTCTTTCATCTTAGAGATAAATATTTTGTTCAAAAGCGAATTTCACAGCTGCCCGTAAGGCAAATGAGCCTCTTAACACACGTTCTAACTGGTCGAAAGCGAATTAAAATTTATTAGTGCTTGCGACAAAATTAGAATTTTAAATTATATATGCATTTATAGTTCAAACAAAAACCTAATATATATTGTCGTAGGTCAAGTTGACGTTTCAGAAAGGCTGCAAATAACGTTTAAATGGACTAAAAACGGTTTGGGGGTCTCTTTGTAGAATAAAAACCCTGTTATTAACAGTTTTCAGGAAAGAAACCTCCAAGAAATGCAAAGAGAGGTCATCTTTTGATTCCCCGAATTTGCCCTAATCACTAATGTCAGTATATATTGTATTGCTTAGCTCGGTTGCTATAGTGACGTTTGCAACCCAATTTTTTTTCTAGCAATAGGACATCCCATGCAGTCTATAAATAACACAGTTTACACTTTCAGAAGTTGTTTTTGAATAATCTAATATTTAAAAATAACGAACTTTTAGTACAATATATAATCTATATGTTTCCATTTAAAATTTATACACGTAAATGTAATATTCCAAGCTGCAAAGGCCTAAATTGTCATTTTGCCACGGCGACAATTTACTAATGTACTTTTCCATGCAATCCCTAGGTAACAACATTCATATATACACGAAAAAGCATAAATAATAATAGGTCTATACTAGCAGGATACTGTATTGTTGTATATAATTATAAGCTTAAAATTTCCATTTCGTCTTCCGCTGCACGAAAGCGATAAACATCTGTGAAATATGTATGAATATAAAATGACCGGTTTAAATTCTGTCGAAGTCTCGAAAAGCATATATTTTGACTAAAGAATGATTTCTCAACGGACGATGCAATAATCCGTGTCTGAAGACTAAGACTTAGTTAACTACTTGAAAAAGATATCTCAAACGTGGGGCCATGGTAATCTTCTTCAAGAAATGCACACACAAACCACGGCCGTTTGTCTGGCTGAAGAAACTTCGATAAAGTAAACCAGCTTTAAATTCAGAGTAACGCTCTTATCAAGGCCAATTTATATAGTATGCTTTAAAACGACGACGCAAGTCAACATAATATTGTTTCCGATTATCGTCAGGGTTACAAACTCGTTAACAAAATGGCGAGTCGAGTTGCACCTGCGTGTTGACGCATGACAACTTTAACATATCCTTCCGCTATATTGCCTCCAAATTGACGGTTAACTACCTAAAACAAAAATTGTTTTCAAATTAAGTTCACCAGGAAAGCGTCATGTCACAGTTAATCGTTATATTATTTATACTGCATGGGTATAGCTTTATCATTTCTAAACTGTTCCCCCTGACCTTTGGGTATACGGCCACTCCTTATTCATCCCCTGCTGTGTTGCAGAAGATAACCTAAAAACTAAACTAACTTTATTTATACTGGATAGCTCTATCAGTTCTAAACTGTTCTTCCTAGAGATCCAGTAAGGATCATCTCTTATTGATCCAGTGTTACTACAGAAGGAAACCTAAACTAAACTAACTTTATTTATACTGGATAGCTCTATCA